CCCCTTTCCTTGGGCCCTCGTCCTCAAGCACGCCAGCCAAAGCGAAATACACCAGCCGATCCACAGCGAAACTAAGCACCGTTGTCATTGAATCGAAGGGACGCCTATATCCCTTCCCCGCGAAGGGGGGAGGGGGGGCCCGGGGGTTGGTGCCGGGGGGGATCCAGGGGTGTGGTCCCGGGTCAGAATACCACCCTCCTGGGGCCCATGGCCTCCTCTCCCTCCCATTTCCGTCGAGGGCCGAGGCCTCCAGGGTCGGCGGCACCGGCAGTAAGGCCTTAGCAATACGTCCCTACTCAGAATTAAGAAAACTCTACACTAAGAGAAAAAAAGGCATCACTCCAAGGGGGAGGGAGGGGGGAGGGGGGAGGAGGGAGGAGGGAGGAGGGAGGAGGGAGGAGGGAGGGGGGAGGGGGGAGGAGGGAGGAGGGAGGAGGGAAACAATAATCCGGGTCCAGAGATCCGAGAATTCTACGAGCGAAGAGTAGCTCCAAGACAACGCCCAGGATGCAATCCAGATCCTTGATTTCTGACCCGGACTCTGGACTCCATGTAAGATGCAGCTTCTCTTACGATTCCTGATGGGCGCAGAACGCCCTGAGCCCTAGACCCCATCTTGATGCGCTATTCTTCGAGCCCGATAGATCTGAGGGCCGAAACTGGGCGACAACGTCTGGCGTGGACAAAACTACGACGCCTCGTCAGAAGTCCGCCGGGCAACATCGGCAACACATCACGACCAGGGCCCCCGACCCAGTATTCCTGCACCACTCTTCGAGCCGCATCGACCTGCGAGGGTCCCGGGGCCCGAAACTAGGCGAAAGCGCCCAGCGCGAAAGAATGAAGGGGCCCCAGGACACACAAATAAATACACAAATGAAACAATTCCCCATATGTTCCCATATTTTGGGGGGTTTTCGTCTTCCCCCCCACTTCCCATATTTGCGAATGTTTTCGGGGGAATCGACGATTGATTGTGTCTCTGTGTGGTTTTTCCCTCCTGAAAGAAGTGCAACCCCCTGCTCTCAGGACACCAGTATCTGGAGCTGGACGCGGCCCGACGCCCCGCGCGCGGCGCGCGCACCGATTCTTTTCACGAGCGGCCAACACGTCCGTATCCGCGCCCTCGCGGCCTTGACTCCGGGGCGCGATCCCGCGGATACGGACCCCGCGGAGGCGCGGAGGCGCGGGAGCACGGCCCAGACACGCGACGTCCTGACTTTGCTGATAAGATGATGATGATGATGATGATGATGATGATGATGATGATGATGATGATGATGATGAGGAGGAGGAGGAGGAGGAGGAGGAGGAGGAGGAGTGTCACCGAACGCCGAATAGAGGGAACAACCGTTACTACTGGCTCTCCAAAAGTCCCGGCCCCTTCCACGGGACCGGCTTCCCTCTCGGGTCGTTGTTTGTAACGGTCCTGGGGCCCAGCGAGGACCTCCAGGGGTCAAAACCAGCGAAAAAACATGTGTAGGAAAAAAGACGAGAGAAACATTACTCACTGCGTGGGGCTCCCCATATGTGCATCTCATGTTTTATGTCATGCCGTGGTGAGCGTCTGTTCATGAGCGGTCGACTACAATAGCGCGTCCACGTGGGCGACAGGGCCGACGAAGACGAGTGACCCCTAATGCGAGTGATTGCGTATGAGTCAGAGTGAGCTTTGAGTATGGTTGAATGCGAGCCTCTTCCTCTTCATCCCCCCTCCTCAGCTGCCAGGCCTTCCCCTTTTCAGCCCGCGGTAGCTTTGGAGCTTCCCACATGTGCATATGTTGTAGGATAGTTGGCAGTGGGATATGTAAGACGAGCGTTTAGCCACACAAGGCCATAAGTGCATGTCATGTTGGAGGATAGTGCCACGGTGAGCATTTCCAACGATCCCCGCACACAACCACCGCCCCCCCCCCCTCGCAGTCACCCCCTATGAATACATATATATATAGAGAGAGAGCATATATATGTATGTCCTGGACTTCGGGACAAACGTTCTGCTCGCGTCAAGGACCTTCGAGCAAAGCGCCCTCCTCCTCCTCCTCCTCCTGTTTCTCCGCCCCCTCCCTTCTCCTGCTCCTGCTCCTCCTCCTCATCCTCCTGCTCCCCCTCCCCCTCCGCACCCCCATGCCCTTCCTCACGATCCCCCGCCTCCTCCTCCTCCTCCTGTTCCTCCTCCTCATCCTCGTTCCTGTCATTTCCCTCCCTGTTGAGCCCAGAAACAAGCGAACCGCCTGAGACATCCCCACAATATGGCCGCGAACGTGCCCGTGCAACCACCCCTGGCGGCTCCCCATAGGGGTGCTGAAACCAGCGCCCCGCCTGAGACATCCTCACAATCTGCTCTCCAAGCGAAGGATGTTGAGCCCAGAAACAAGCAAACCGCCTGAGACATCCCCACAAAATGGCCGCGAACGAGCCCGTGCAACCACCCCTGGCGGCTCCCCTTAGGGGTGCTGAAACCAGCGCCCCGCCTGAGACATCCTCACAATCTGCTCTCCAAGCGAAGGATGTTGAGCCCGGAAACAGGCAAACCGCCGGAGACATCCCCACAAAATGGCCGCGAACGAGCCCGTGCAACCACCCCTGGCGGCTCCCCTTAGGGGTGCTGAAACCAGCGCCCCGCCTGAGACATCCTCACAATCTGCTCTCCAAGCGAAGGATGTTGGGCCCAGAAACAAGCAAACCGCCTGAGACATCCCCACAAAATGGCCGCGAACGAGCCCGTGCAACCACCCCTGGCGGCTCCCCTTAGGGGTGCTGAAACCAGCGCCCCGCCTGAGACATCCTCACAATCTGCTCTCCAAGCGAAGGATGTTGAGCCCAGAAACAAGCAAACCGCCTGAGACATCCCCACAAAATGGCCGCGAACGAGCCCGTGCAACCACCCCTGGCGGCTCCCCTTAGGGGTGCTGAAACCAGCGCCCCGCCTGAGACATCCTCACAATCTGCTCTCCAAGCGAAGGATGTTGGGCCCAGAAACAAGCAAACCGCCTGAGACATCCCCACAAAATGGCCGCGAACGAGCCCGTGCAACCACCCCTGGCGGCTCCCCTTAGGGGTGCTGAAACCAGCGCCCCGCCTGAGACATCCTCACAATCTGCTCTCCAAGCGAAGGATGTTGAGCCCGGAAACAGGCAAACCGCCGGAGACATCCCCACAAAATGGCCGCGAACGAGCCCGTGCAAACACCCCTGGCGGCCCCCCTTCGGGGTGCTGAAACCAGCGCCCCGCTTGAGACATCCTCCAAATCTGATGTGAGTTGAGTAAGTCTGAGTATGAGTAGGTCTGAGTATGAGTATGCCTGAGTATGAGTAAGTCTGCGTATGAGTAAGTCTGTGTATGAGTAAGTCTGGGTATGAGTAGGTCTGTGTATGAGAAGGTCTGTGTATGAGTACGTCTGGGTATGAGTAAGTCTGTGCATGAGTAAGTCTGTGTATGAGTATGTCTGAGTGTGAGTAAGTCTGAGCATGAGTAGGTCTGAGTATGAGTAAGTCTGAGTATGAGTAAGTCTGAGTATGAGTAGGTCTGAGTATGAGGAAAGAGGAGGAGGGGAGGAGGAAAGAGGAGGAGGGAGAGGGAGTAGGAGGCGTCCAAGTAATAACAAGAACCCCATCTTAGGATATGGGGAATAAACTGTTGGCGCTCCGAGCGGATTTCTGGGATCTGTGCTGGACCCCCCTCCCTGGCGCGCGGAGCGCCCCAGGGGCGGCGGTTGAGGCGCCGCCGGGGGTGCCCAGCGCGGACCTCAGAAACCTGGGCGGAGCGCTAAAAGTTTGTGGTTATACCCTTGCTTCTTCTTCTTCTTCAAAACACAAACCTTGACTGGGCTTCAGGAGAGCCCATAATCGAATCGATAAGTCGGATCGGCGATCGAAATCAATCGGATGGGCGAAACCCAGCAGCCGAGTCGGGAAAAGTCGAATCGGGCGAAATCGGCAGTTCAGTAGGAGACTCCATGGAGAAGACGGAGTCCGAATCGGAATCCGACATCGGATCGAATCGGCATCGGAAGCCACCGAAAGCGAATCGCGCCGGAGGAATCGAGCTGAGCCCTGGGTCGGGGGTTGCTGAAGGTGCCCCTGGCCCAAGGTGCCCCCACCTGGAGCCCCTGGGGCCCTCTGGGCCTCGAGAGGGAGTTGCTCCGGCGGCCGAGGAGGAGGAGGAGGAGGAGGAGGAGGAGGAGGAGGAGGAGGAGGAGGAGGAGGAGGAGGAGGAGGAGGAGGAGGAGGGGGGCCTCCGCGGAACTCCTGGGGGCACCGTGGGCCAGGGGCACTCCTGGCAATACACCCGACGGGGCTCTGCCTGGACCAGCGCTCGGACGGCCGTTCCCCGTGCACGCACATGTGCCGGCGCTTCGTGCGTGCATTTTTTGCCCAAAGGTGGCCCACGATGTGCTCCTCGATGTTCGTCGCCGAGAAAAAATCGGGTCGGGCGAAAAGGGGGGGATAGCAAAGGGGGGGGGGAGAATCAGCTCACGTGGCTGACTTTCCCGGCGCCTCTCGGCACCGGAGGCGGCTGCGCATCGAGGAATGGGCCCCTCGGCGAGGCCGAAGCCAGCTGCATGCAGCAAATTTTGTACCCCCCCCTTTCCCAATCCCCCCCTTTCGTCCGGCCCGAAAAAAACACTGACTACCTACCAGACCACCCCAACCCAACCCGAAGACCCGAATTTCGGGTGGGGGGGGTAAGGGTTCCACATGTATCTGTTCGATGCTTCCCGACCCCCCCCCCTGGAAATCGAGGGTAAATCTGAGCCTTCGGGTTGGGTTGGGGTGGTTTGGTGGGCGGTGAAACACACGTCCGAGCGATGCCAAGCAGTCGGGACGCCAGACGTGAAGGGGAACTGGGACACACAAATAAATACACACAAATAAACATATCCCCCATGTTTTCCTATATTTTCTGGGTTTTTGTCTTCCCCCCCACTTCCCATATTGTCCCATATTTTCTGGGAATCGCCGATGAATTGTGTCTGTGTGGTTTTTCCCCTCCTGAAGACGTCTGGGCAGCTGCCAGAGAGAGCCCGCAGGGCGGATCCCTCGTCCTGGGTCCGGCGCGCGCACGCGCGTGGGGCCCCCGCGGCCGGCTCAGGCCGCCAGGGAGCCCAGCGAGGGCACCTGTGGGGAGGCCAGGAGGCGCGCCGCGCGGGCAGGCCCTCCTGCAGGCGGAGCTCGGACGACAGACACGGAAAAGCAAGCACAAAACACGTACTCCAGACTTCGTAATAGAAGGGAGGGGGTCTGGACCCTCCAAGACAAGCCATTTCGGACCTCCCCCGTGGGAGAACCCTCCAAATCATCGTCCCCAGACCCCCCAGGCCCTCCAAGATAGCCTGGAAGAGACCCCCCCGAAATGAGACCCCCCTCCCTTTATTACGAAATCTGGAGTACCCCAGAAATAAGTTAACCCAACAAGGAGTTGTCGAGAGATCGTCCCCGGACTGCGCTTTGACCGTGCTTGAGCATGCCTCCTGTAGAGGGGCGTGCCCGGCTTACCCTTGGACCTCTCCTATGAAAAATATCTGGTTTTATTTTCTCCGCAGCGAGAGCTCCAACAACCTTCCGGGCGACGAACACTCTGATACAGCAGAATGAGAATGAGAAAGCCTTCTCAGAAGGTTTGGAAGTCCCCTGGCCTTCTGGGAAGTTCTCTATAAGCCTTCCCCAAAGACTACAGACACAACTTCTCAAGAAGGCGCCAGGGCTTCGGAGGAGTCCCGCCGCCTTCTCAGAAGGCCTTCTCCTTCCTCACTTCCCCCCCTCGCTCGCCGCCGAACTGTGCCCTGGGCCTCACCTGGGGTGCTTCCTGACCCGCATCCCGAGGCGGATCCGGCGGTGGCGACGAGGGCCGCTCAGGAGGCACACAGAGGGGGAAAGCGCAGGAAAGGCGGCGGCATCGGAGAACCTGCTCCTCGCGCAGCTCTGCCGATAACGTGCACGGCGGATCCGGCGGTGGCGACGAGGGCCGCCCAGGCCTCCTCCTCCTCCTCCTCCCTCCTCCTCCTCCTCCTCCTCCTCCTCCCCCTTCCCCTCCTCCTCCTGCCTCCTCCTCTCCTCCTCCTCCTCCTCTCCTCCTCCTCCTCCTCCTCCTCCTCCTCCTCCTCCTCCTCCTGCCTCCTCCTCCCCCTCCTGCCTCCCCCTCCTGCCTCCTCCTCCTCGAGGGCCCCCCCCCAAAAGGGGGCCCCGCGAGGCGAGGGCGGGTGACCTGCCGGCGCCCCTCGCCCCCCTCCGCCAAGGGGGGGCGGGGCACCCGCGAGGCGCCGCCGCCCGCGGCGCCCGCGCGGGGGCTGCCGAAGAAGTACGCCGGGCCCGTGCGGTCGAAGCCGGGACTCGGCAGGATGCCGCCGCGGCCCCAGGCGCGGCCCCGCCCGCGCGCCACCGCCTGCGCTCGAGGAGGAGGAGGAGGAGGAGGAGGAGGAGGAGGAGGAGGAGGAGGAGGAGGAGGAGGAGGAGGGGGAGGGGGAGGAAGGAGGAGGAGGAGGAGGAGGAGGAGGAGGAGAGGAGGAGGAGAGGAGGAGGAGGAGGAGGAGGAGGAGGAGGAGGAGGAGGAGGAGGAGGAGGAGGAGGAGGAGGAGGAGGAGGAGGAGGAGGGAGGAGGAGGAGGAGGAGGAGGAGGGGAGGAGGAGGAGGAGGAGGAGGAGGAGGAGGAGGAGGAGGAGGAGAAGGAGGGGGGGGGAAGAGGAGGAGGCGTGTCATCCGTACCGTGAGCGGCTGTCTCCCCTCCGGCTGCATGCTGCTCGCCTCGTCTCTCTCCCTGTCCCCCAGCCATCCCTGCTTCGCCGCTGGCGTTCAGGGGCCCTTGAGCCAGGGCGCCCAGGGAAAGAGCGTTCGACGATGCGATCCGAGCCGGTCCTCGATCGACAGGGCGCACGCCGACAGGGAAGCGAGTCGAAGCCGATGACAGGGATGGGTACGAAGGGGCCCAGGGACACACAAAGAAGTATACGCACAGAGCCCAGGACTCCCAATATTTGATTTCTCATATGTCTTCTGGGTTTGCGTCTCCCCACACACACACACTTTTCCAATATTTTCCCCATGCTTTCATGGAAACCGACTTTAAGTGTGCCTGTGTGTGCTTTCCCCTCCTGTGGGCAACCTTCCCAGGGTGAGACGAAGCCAGGGCGTGGGGATAAAATCGGGTGAGGATCTAAATCGAGGATCTCTGAGGTCCGGCAGCCCTGGAGGACGTCTCGGGCGCCGCGGAACGCCCTGAGAGCGTTCTGGAACGCTCTGGAACAAATTGATCCTCGTCCTGGCCCCGTCCGATGCGTGCCTCTTCGGTTCATCCTTAACCACTTTCGATGGCCAACCCCTCTCGAAAAACTTCGACATGCGCGTCGCGTCCAACGGGCTTGCACACTTATCGCGCATCCTTACTATCAAGTTCGACTGCAGGGATGCGTGGCGGATTCTGGAACCACAAAAAAACTGGCCACCTCTTGGAAAACCGGTTCTTACTTCCGCCGGCTTCCGCCGGCGGAGGCGGCCTCGCTCTGCTTCTGCCAGCTTCCGCCGCCATTCGGCCGCACTTCCGCATAGGAGAAGAAGACAACTCCTTCGAATCTCAAAGACGAGGCCCTTTCTCCTTTCTTGATCGTCCATGGGCGGGGAAGGCACCCCCGAGAACTGGCGCCAATGCCGCACCAAATGTCTGAGCCGTGAGATCCGGGCGTCGGATTTTTGCTCGCGCTGGGCGTTTTCGCCCGCTTCAGCCCCTGGGACCCTCGCAGATCTATCCAGCTCGAACAGTGGCGCAGAAAGATAGGGTCCAGGGCCCAGGGCGTGCAATTGTTGCTGCTTCGTCGGAGGCAACTTCTGGGAGATGTTCGTCGGAACGATTCAGGCCCGAGCCACTGAGCCAGATTTGGCCGGATTGAACCTAGGATCAGGCCGCATTAGAATGGATGAGTCCGGATTCAGCGGGATCACGCGGGACTCAACCAGAACCGGCCAGTTACAAGCCAGGGATCTTCTGGCGCCGATTCGATCTCCTAGGACCTGCATCCTATCGGGCATGCCCAGGCTTCCAGCGTCTTGGATCAGGGGCGTCCAAGAGGGGAGCGTCCAGGAGGGGGGTGCGCAAAGCATGGCCGGCGACATGTGCGGCGGGGACGTAATGAAAAAGGTAAGAAGAAGCGCCATGAAATCTGGGGAGATACCCTGGCCCCCGCCAGGACATCCCCCCCCCGCTTGGCCGCCCTCGACCTGAGGAAATCGGGGCGGAGATCCGCCGCAGTCTGTGCGGCGTCGGCGCGTGCTCGCGGGATCGGCGCGGCGTCGAGCTGCAGGGGGGAGGAGGAAGGGCAGGAGGAAGAGGAGGAGGAGGAGGAGGAGGAGGAGGAGGAGGGGAGGAGGAGGAGGAGGAGGAGGAGGAGGAGGGAGGAGGAGGAGGGAGGAGGAGGAGCGCGTGCTGGCCTCCCGGGGCGAGCTCTTGCCAGGGGGCCCGCGGCGGATACGGCCCGCGGCGGCGGGGGCCCGCTGCGGGAGGCCACGGGCGGCTCACGAGAGGGAGGGGCCACGGACCCGGGCAGGTCGAGGCTCCTCCTCCTCCGCCTCCTCCTCCGCCTGCGTCCTCCTCCGCCGCCTGCGTCCTCCTCCTCCTCTCCTCCTCCGTCCTCACCTCCTCCCTCCTCCTCCTCTCCCTCCCTCCTCCTCCTCCCTCCTCCTCCTCCTCCTACTGCCTCCTCCTCCTCCTCCGCTCCCGCCTCCTCCTCCTCTCTCTCGTCCTCCTCCTCTCCTCCTCCTCCGCCTGCGCCTCCTCCTACTCCTCCTCCTGTCCTCCTCCTGCCTCCTCCTCCTCCTGCCTCCTCCTCCTCCTCCTCCTTCTCCTCCTCCTCCTCCTCCTCCTTCCTCCTCCTCCTCCTGGGATGCCCCGCCCGCTTGTGCAGGCGCAGCAGGTCGACATGGGCAGTGGTCGGCCTGGCTATATGAGCTGGTGCGGCCCTTCAACGGCGAGCGACGGGGGGGGGGGGGAAGCCGAGACTTCACATCGTGGCTGAGCGAGTGCAACTCGAGGCTCCCGCCGTTGAGACATCAGCTTTCGACGTCTGAATCTCTCGGCATGTAGTGTTGCTCGCTGATTTCGACCTCGGCCCGACACCCTTTCGCCGCCGCCGCCGCCCCGCAACCTTCCACGCCCTCCTCTGGGCGGCGTGCGAGGTGGGGAGGGGGGATATGAGAAGGAGAAGGCCTTCTCGGAATGTTTCGACGAGTTTGTCGATGAGCTCTGTCTGTGGAGTGGACTGCCTCTGCTTACGGGGTGGTGGGAGAGCCTGTTTCCTCCTCGCCCTCCTCCTCCTCCTCCTCCTCCTCCTCCTCCTCCTCCCCCTCGTCGTCCTCCCCCCCCCCCTTCGCCGCCGCCGTCGTCGCTGTCGGTGTCTGCACGGCGCCTTCTTGTTTCGCAGCCGCGCCTCCGGCAGCGGAACTTGCTGTTTCACTTATTTGCCAACGCACCTCTGACGTGCACGGCGCTTTTTTTTTTTTTTCTCTCTCTCTCTCTCTCTCTTTCTGTCGATGAGCGGGCCCTGCAGTTGCCTCTTCACCACTCCCCCGAGGGCGGGCGGCCATCCCGAGTCGAGCTGTGTCGGCGCCGAGACCCGAAAATGGCCTAAAGTGATCAACAAAAGACGAACAACAGGTGCCGACCTCCCAAACCACCCCAACCCAACCCGAAGATCCGAATTTCCGGTTCGGGGGGGGGGGGGGGCTACGGACCTCATGCGTGTTTTTTTTCCGACATTCCCTCCCCCCACACACACCCTGGAAGTGGAGGGCAGATTGGGGCCTTCGGGCTGGGCTGGGGTGGCTTGGTGGGCGGCGGAGGGCCGCCTCGGCCCCGGCGAGGCGCCGGAGGTCCGTGCGGCGGTCCGCGCGGAGCGGACGCCCGCTCCGCACGCCCGCAGCGATCCCGGCCAGGCCCACCACGGGCCCAGGATCGGCGGGCCGGCGCGCCCTCCCCGGCCTCCCGATGCAGGCATAATGCGGGATGACGATTAATAAAAAAATTGGAGAGAACGATTAAACAAATAGTTTTCTGCTATCTCTGCACCATTTTCTGACTGGAGGAGAACGATTAAAAAATAGCTTTCCAGCCCGCGGCCAGTTTTTTCTAATCGTCATCCCGGGCGCCGCCGCGTGAACACATGAACACGACCCCCGTTCATTTATTAATCGTCATCCTCCATTAACACACACAGGGAAACATAACGTGGCATAAACATAATATCAGCCAGCGCTGACTCCAAACAGAGTAAGTAGACGACTCGAGTCAAGGAATCGGAGGGACCGAGCATGCTTGGAATGCGCAACTCAGCAGGCAATCAAGCGTGCAAGCAGGCGCGCAAGCAAGCGGGCAAGCAAGCAAACAAGCAAGCACGCAAGCATGCATACATAAAGTTGTATAAAGATAACAACTCGGAGGTCCGCGCGGATTCCTCGGATCGGCGCTGGGACCCCCTGGCGGCACCTCCGGCGCCGCCCCCGGCGCGCTCCGCGCGCCGGGGAGGGGTCCAGCGCCGAGCCGAGAAATCCGCGCGGACCTCCGAGTTGTTGTGTTTATGCCACTTTTCTTCCCCGAATATAGCAGGAGCTCGACCACAAGAAACCTCCCATAAGGAACCCAACCCTGAGACCCCAGTACGTCCATTGACTTTTGGTGTGGGAGCGTCGCGCTCTCCATGGCAAAACCATCAAAGAACCCAAGAAACCCAGGGACCCCTGGAGGCAAAAGCAAGGTGTTTCTTGGCATGGGCTTCCCCTTGTACACGCCCGCACCTATCCTGGCCAGGCCCACCATAGGCCCAGGCTCTGCGTACGCGCCCTCCCGGCTTGGCGAGGCAGCGGGCGATTTCGAAAACCCTGAGCCCAAGAACGCTTTCATCGCTTGGGGGCGCATCCTTTCACTTCCGCCGCCTTCCGCCGCCCTTCCGCCGGCTTCCGCCAACGGAGGCGGCCTCGTTTTGCTTCCGCCGCCCTTCCGCCACCTTCCATGGCGGAAGAGAGGACAGCTCATTCGGTCCTCGAAGGCAAGCCCCTTCTTGAACAGCCCCATAGATACGCCAATGCCGGGCCTGGGCCAGCCGGGCCGGGATCGGTGTACAGGCGTGTATTCACTGGACGCCCCCTCCGAGCCTGGGCCGGGAAGCAGAAGGACATACCAAGACTATCCGCCCCTCGCCATCTCTCCGACGCCCCTTCCCCGTGCATTGTTTGGTTTCGTGCGATATGGTTGTTCCGCGCGCTCATCCTAGATGCCCCTCGATGGCCCTCGCCGAGAAAAATGCACACGCCCGAGGGATGCCAAGGCCCCCCTTGGATGCGCACGCCCTAACCAAACATGTAGCACAGACGTTAACATACAGCAGCAGATCGCTACCCAGGGCAGATAGCGCCCGCAACCAAACATATACTACAATAGATTTAGGTGCGCGCGTGGCCACTTGCGGGGGGGGGGGGGGAAAGGGGGGCGACGCACACAGTATGGAGCAGGGACTGTCCGTTTCTGCATTCCGATAGGCCTACCACGAAATGAATCTCGTACAGCCGATGCTGTTCGAACAAAACGGTATCAGCCAGAAATGCTCTAAGGACATTTCGCGCAACCATAAAAAAGGGTTCTTAGAACATTTCTCGGTGGGCCTATGGGCAAGCCTAAAGAAACAACACCATGCATGAGCATAAACTGTTGATTTCCCAGGCGCGCGGAGCGCGCCAGAGGCGGCGCCGGAGGCGCCGCCAGGGCCGCCCGGGGGCCCCTGCGCCGATGCAAGAAATCTGCGCGGAGCATCAAAAGCTTATATGTATGTTGTTGTTTCTCCTGCGGGAGCCAGGACGCCTCGCCACTGCTTGGCCCCGAAAAGAGGCCTCCTAGATGGGGTCGGAGTAGACGGGATCAGAGGATCGCGCCGCATCCCCGATACATCGGCGATGTTTCGGCGATGTATCGGCGGTGCATCGGCGATGCGTCGCCGATGCACCGGCGATGCATCGTCGACGTCGGCGATGCTTCGGCGACGTCGACATGAAGCAAATCGGGCTGCACATCGAGCCGCACTGGCGATGCACCAGCGATGCGGCGCGATCCTCCGACCCCATCTGCTCCGAACCCATCTAGGATTATGGTGCTCCCATCGTACTTAAGGACCACATCCCAGAAATAATTTGGAGCACCCAGAAAAGTGTCGAAAGAGCGTCGAAACAGTGTCGGGCGAGTGTCGCCCAGGGCCCGACACGTGAAACCCCTCGAGGTTCGGCACTTTGGCTGGTGCTCGAACTTAGTTCTGGTGATCGAGGCTAAAAAAGGGTTGGAACATCATGAATCTAGGAGGCCTATAGAGCCACTGCTTGACCCCGAATTGGACGCCCGAGTTATCCGGGGTAACTCGGGTCCAGGGCAACTCGGGTTTGGATCCCCGCAAAAACGAACCCGAGTTAGCCCTGACCTGAGTCACCCCTGATGATTTGGGGCTCTGGACGCCCGAATTACCCGGGGTAGCTCGGGCCCGGGGTAACCCGGGTTCGGAATCCCGAAAAACGAACCCGAGTTAGCCCTGACCCGAGCTACCCCTGATGATTCGGGGCTCCGACCGAAGGCCTCGAGCATGCCCCCGGGCGGCTCGCTGACAGCGCGGGGCGGCGGGCCGCCGCCGCCGCTGGGCAGCCGGCGCACCTCCAGGAGCGCACCCTGGGCGTTGCCCGGCGCCGCTGCGGCCAGGCCCTCCGGCGCGGGCGCGCCCGGCCGGCAGCACCTCGCCAAATGGTACGGCCCCCTCCTCCTCCTCCTCCTCCTCCTCCTCTCCTCCTCCTCCTCCTCCTTGTTTTCCCCTCCTACTCCTCCTCTGCTCCTCCTCCTCCTCCTTGCTCCTCCTCCTCCTCCTCCTCCTCCTCCTCCTCATCATCATCTGCTGCTGCTCCTCCCCCTGCCTCGCTCCTCGCTCCTCGCTCCTCGCTCGCTCCTCCTCCTCCTCCTCCTCCTCCTCCTCCTCCTCCTCCTCCTCCATGTGTAACCCACCCAGAAACGAGTTGACGCCAGACACAACCTACCCTAGCGGCCATCCCGACAGATCCACAGACCCAACAAACGGGAAAAAAAACCTAGGTTCTTGCGTGACGCGGGCGGCGAAAAAAATACCCCAGGGATTTCGTTCGCGCCGGCGATCAATTCGAATGCGAGTCCAAGACTCATGAAAAAAAGGCTGCGGCTAAAAATAATGAGTGCTTCAGCGGCCCAAGACCACCAGAGCGCCACGTCTCTCGACAGCACCTCATGCCAGCCAGCAGCAGCTGGAACGCGGCAGCTCCGCAGCCGCCGAAACCGCGGGGGAAGACTACGAAATCTTTCGCAGCTGGGAGCGCTGCCCACCCCCAACCCTCAGGGAAGACAGAGGGGGATCTTCCCTTCACACTTCCGGATCTAACAGTCCGACGTTGCGCCCAGAAGCTGGCGAAACTTGTGCCCCATTTCAGGGTCGAGTAGGCCATTTGGTGCCGTTGAGTCTGCTCGTGATCGCGCGTGATGCGCTGCACGCGCGAGTGCGCGCGTGAACATGCGCATGCGTATACCGCACGCATAAGCAGACACACACACACACACACGACCTCACACACAAGCACACACATCATCCACATACAAATGCACACACATAATCACACAACACACGAGACACACGCACACCAGCGTGCACGCGCACAAGTGCACACATACAAAAACACACGCAACCACATACGCGGGGCACAGCGCAACACACGCACACACACAAACACACACAAACACAGATAGTAATTAAGTTGTATATTCAAACATGTGTTGAGATTCAAGCGTGCACGGTAAGCTCGTCTGTGCGGCAAAGCTTCCTGTAGGCGTGCGCCCGTGCGTGTGTGCATGCTGTCGAACCTGAGAATCATGAATGATCGGAGGCGCCGACGAAGATGAAGCAGCGCCCTCCGAAAATTACACCACCCACTTTAATCAAGAAGACAGTGTAGGCACCTCCGCAGGTCCTCCAAGGGCGGTGGACGTGGATAAATCGAAGCGCCGGATGTCTTGGTTGGAGGTCCCCTCAGATCCGACGTCGCGGACAAAAAAAACAATACCGTGGCAGATTACCACTGGAATGATCGACCCTGTCTTCCTGCGGCAGGGCTCACGCCGCATCGGTCCGTGCAGGTCCCAGGTTGCGAGACTGGGCGAACACACCTGGCGCGAGGAGAAATGCGACTCCCCGACCTCAGGGTAGAGCGAAGCGCCTGCTGTCTGCGGTGGAGGTTTGGGATCGGTGTGCATCTCGGTTTCCAAGGCAGTGCGGTCACAGACTGCGTGGTGACCTCGAAATCTCACAGCAAACCTGATCGAACGGTCCGCCACCACACGGGTTTGGAACCCTGGGGGCCCCAGTCGTCCGAGGTGTCCTCGGAGAGCGACCCGAATCTCAAAACCGAGCGGTCACCCCAAATCACTACTGACTCGCCCGACGGTGTGGTCACCGCACCATCCCAGACAGATTCCAGTAAGGTTAGGAGCTCGTTTGAGGCCTCTGCTGTTTGAAACAAAAACTGCATGTCCCTTTTTGGGACCCTTTCGCTTTCGACAGAAACCAATAGCTGGGAAACGCGTCGTCGGCAACGTCAACGGCTATCGCAACAACGATGACGAAGATCGAGGTCATTGTTCTGTCGGCCCTGAACCATTTATTGACGGTCCCGGGGCCCTGGCGAGGGCCCGGAGAATCCGAAAACGGCCAAAAACCTTCCGATGCGTGATCTTTTCGCGACGCCGACGTGCTGGGTTTCCGGGCCGTTCGGGGCTATCCGGGCACCCCTGGAACGCGCTCGGCGAGGCGCAGCTGCTGGAACGCAGCCCGAGGCAGGGAGACCTCCAGGATCCAACAAAACTGCTCGAAACCTCCGAGACAGTCAGGAAACGACAGAAGGATGTCAGGGTTTTGCCCCTCCCTCCCCACACACGTCGGCCTCGCGGGGCATCAGGAGGAGGAGGAGACCCAAGGAGGAGGAGCGGGAGGAGGAGAGGAGGATGAGGAGGAGGATGATCGAGAAGCGAGGAGAAAGAGAAGGACCGAGAATCGAAGAGGATCGAGAGGGATGATCGAGGTGGATCGAGGTGGAAGATCCGAGAGTCGAAAGTGAGCCTGGTAACTCAAATAGCATCCGATTCCATGGGAAGCGGATGGCAAATAGCGTCCGGTATCGTACTGACGTGGTTCAGTAAGATGAATGGACGGATAAGATAGGATAAGATCGATGTATCGGTCTTTCCAGCACATAGCGAACACTCGCGGTGTCCGGGCAAATAGGGCGCGCGTGCCTTGAGCCAAAGGCAACGGCGCGCGAGCTATGCTCCCGATACTATAACATCTCCCAAAGAGCTACCCTTAAAGTCGGGAGGGGAGGAGACGGAGCGCATAGCCGCGCAGCCGTTAGGCTCTACAAAGGCCGCGCGCACAACTGCTTGCAAGAAAGAAAGCAGTGTGTACAGTCTGGCCTAACACCAGACTGTAAGGCGAGTTTCCTCGCAAGGCATTTCACGCAAATACAAGATAGCCCCTTTGAACGATGAAGGGCTATCGGCTCAGTTAGAGGTAAGCCAAACGGGCCATACCGCACCGAGCAAATATGTATTAAGGCAAAGAGCCTGAGTCATATAAAGCCGGCTCGTTGCCAGGCGTGAAATGTAAGGCTCGTTTCCGAGCAACTAGAAGGGCGCCTCTGTAATAGGCGCCCATGCTGGCAAATTGGACCGCGGGGGGCAACAAGGACAGACTAAAATTGATTAGATTTGGGTTTGTTTCTGTCCTCGGGACCCCGAAAGGGAACAAACTGCTTCACGTCATACTTGAATGACTGAGTGCCTGACATCACTTCCAGAAGCAGCTCCCGATCGATGCTTCCCTTTGTATGCCCATCTGCGGTCATATCCCTAGTATCACACCACTGCACGTTATGTACTATACCTATATCCATGAGCTCACGTATCCAACTGATATGTCCAAGCAGAGTCCGCTCTGTCGGTATCTTAAGATCCTTGCTTGATAATGATGTATAAACGGACTCAGCGTCTATGGTAAGAGATACTTTGATGGCTAGGCCTCCAACTTCACGCATATCTCGTAGTTGTCGTGGAGTCAGAGCTCCTGCCTTGAGCTCGTGGAGAGTGATGAGCGTAGGGTAACACTCATCGAGGTTATGCGCCGCTGCGAGTGCCTCCGCAGCATAGCTGGACCTCACCTGCAGTCGGTGTGATTTGCATAGTCCGTCACAGAGGTGAACGACGGACTTGCCTTGAGGCGAGTTTCCTCGCCGTCGTGCATTCGCCCCGCGTATGCCGTAGCCCTTGGTCTCATCATCCTCCTCCCCGGTAAGCTTCCGATACCCCGAGTCGCTGTGGATGTCAACTTCATTCGTCGGCTTCATCCGAGGGAAGGTGATGCGTTTCGGGCTGCTGATCAGCTTTCGCGTCACAGCATTCAGGCGTCTGACTTGCAGATTGGTGGGCTCTTGGATCTTCTGGAGAGAGACCACGTATACCATGAGCCAGATTTGAGTAAGAAGGGCATAGGCGAGGGCTCCTCGCAAGCTGACGAACATGTCGGTAATGAGTTTCGTGGCTTTGGCATCGGCCGCCGCTCCTGTAAGTTCTGGGTGTGTGATAGGACGTAGTTGTTTGATATACTCGTCCTGATCCATAATCACATCCCCTTGATCATTCTTAGTGTAGCGAACGGCGCAGTTCGTATATGTGTGTTTGTTGAGCTTGCATTTGCCAAACACCTTTTCGACACGCTGTGCATAGTCGTCTATATTTTTCTCTAGGCCAGTCATGTTAATATCATCGACATGTTTTGCAGTTAGCAGATCTTGGCTGAATTCAAATTCAGGGTCATAACTGGTCGGTGCAAGGCCCATAGCTCGTGTGGTCGTACGAAGTTTAAGAGAGAACGCTCTTGGAGCGTCCTTTGTACCCGTTCCTGGTTTGAGGCATCTGAGGCAGTGTCGGCTTTCGTCATAGGATGAGAAGCCGGGTAGTGTACGAAGTACCTGGGCACTTCCCGGTGGAAGAGTGAAGCAGACCATGCGAGTTTCCTCGCCGGTGGCATGGGCAAGTTCCTCATAGGTCAAACCCTTGAGGAACGCCTTGTCGATATCCATGGATGCTAAGATCCATTCTGGATGGCATGCCGCCTCACTTGCCAGGAGTCGTTGGGATTGCCTTCGGGCGGTTCACGAGAATGTTTCTACGTCGAAAGCCTCAGTATCCATAAATCCGCGAAGGACAAGTCTGAGACGAATGGTTTTAACGTTCTCGGTACCCACCTTTACAAACTTCCACTTGTACACATACCTGGATGTCATGATGTTGGAAGCTTTGGATAAATCATACATCTCAAAGCATCGGTTGTCAATCCAGATTTTGAGCTCAGTATACAAATCTTCACTAACCTCCTTTGGATGTGCTGCTATGTCGGCTTTGGTCAGTAGATCATCTTCTTTAACGACCACAGCACGTTTAGCAGCAGAGGATACGTATACTCTCATCGTTGCGACCATATCGGTGTCGAGCTGTGCAAGCTGAGTCTGATCCAACACTATTTTTGACATTTCTGATGTAAAACATAACTCAACGCAAGGACCATATTCATCACTGTCAAGAGAGTAGCTCTCATCAGGTGTGGTTGAGCAGAGAGAGACTAGACAGGACTCTCGTGGTTCAGGCTCGTCTCCGAGCGTGTCCGATGATATGATATC